GGAGAAGGTCCAGGGTTGAGCCATGGGAGATACCCGTTTTTTATACAAAAAAAAGGGGTGAACATTCGGGATAACATCTGGTGTGCCCAACGTGTGGTTGGTGGGGGTTGATCTACATAAAGTAATCATATGCCTAAAAGCACAAACAGTGAGCGACAGCGTGCTTCTGGGCTGATGTATCACTCTCTAAGATAATGAGGGAGTAAAAGCTTTTCTAGGCTCGGTTTTTTTAAAAAAAAACAGGGGGGGGGGGGGGGGGGGGGGGGGGGGGGGTTCTTACCGGCATACCCTTGGATTTGCCAGGAATAGACCGAGCACCAAGCCACGTGTTGGTCGCCCGGACACAGAAAGGATCCGTTGACGACATCGCCCGAACGATCCAGTGAAGCTACCACAGCTGAGCACAAAAACAATACCGAGCAAGCGAGATGCATGGCGAGAACCGGCACTGGATGATCACAGGAATTAACTTTTTTTTTTTTGGAGGGGGGGGGGGGATTTGTGACAGGATTGCACTTGGTTGCAAGGGTGCAAGACAAGAAGGTTTGCGGATTTCTTTTAAGAGTTGTCTATCGGGCAACGTTGGAAATCTTGTGGAGTGATTTATATTATAAATGGTAGGCGACGCCACGAAAGAAGACAGTTGGTCTTTTTTAAAAAATACTTCCATTGTACAACAACAACAAAAAATGAAGAAACAGCCCCGGAGCCACGCGACGATACACATTTCATTCCTCCCCGCACGACTGCCTTTTTAGCATAGCTTTTAAAGCATTCGACACCACGCAACCGTCTCCTTGGACTATGTATGATCTGTGTACGTATGTACATGTATACAGGGTCCGGATTGTCTGCAAGGCGTCGGCAATTATAAGCAGTGCGAAGCTTCACGAGCAGATGACAACGCTTTCGAAGTCATGGCTTGACCGACGCTGATGAGCAGTCTCGACAGCCATTGACTCCGTCTACCCCGGCCTCCGTCTATCGCCATAAGAGACTTGGACCCGAGTCGTTTGTAGAATCGTCACGTTTTCTCGAGACATTCAAGCTTACGAAAGGCAAGTTATGACTGGACAAAAAAAACCGTTTGTTTGACCAGTCCTGCGACCGGCTGCCAGCGGGTTACATATGTACCGGTCGGAGCTCGCCCGAGGAGGTCGTGCTAGCAGTGCAGAGAGCCTGGCACGCAGAGAAATCAGCCTCTTTTTCTGGCTTCTCTCTTGAACACCTGAGCGCGTCATAATTAAGAGCTGACTCAAGCGAGGTCGACTTGTTAAGGAGCATGTGCGGAGCGAATGGGCTGGGAAGTCTCCAACCATTCAAACAAGAGGGTTTTTTTTTCTTTTCGTTGGATCGATGGCTTTCAAGCAACAATCTGGAGTCCTCCACTTATTTGATACATATCTTTCGAAATCATCGAGACCAATCAGTGAGAACATAAATATTGTTTTTTTTTACAAGTCTGGATTTTTGTTGGCCCCAAGAGAGAAGAAGAAAAAAGCGGACGGAGGACAAGTGGAAATATGTATTGGACAACGAACTATTGACAAAAGGAAGGGTTTTCAATTTTACAGCTATAAGTACATAGATCCTAACAAAATTCAATATTAAAGCACCAAGACAGCCACCTCTCTTGTTAATTAGTTTTCTTGACTGTTGTTGTCGACGGCGGGGTGCAAGCCTTGTTGACTTCATTGGGCGAGGCTGTGAAAGCGTCTTTGACTCCTTTGACCGGTCTCTGCTCATTAATCCCATCCATGATCACACAAAAACCCCAAATCATTTCATCAACATCGCGGTTTCCTTCATCGACCCCTTTTTTTTTTGAAAAAAAAAAAAAAAAAAAAGTGATTTACATACCGGTTTGAAGGTAGAGGGACAACAGAGCTGCTTGAACACGTCCCTCGAATCACACACCAATACCGTCTCGGGACGATTTTTAGTTTTGGTTTTGAGTTTGAAAGGTTTTTGAACTGGTAAGAAAAAATAAATCCAGACGAGAAGAGAGCGGATCTCAAAAGACATATATCAGTAGCTTGGATGATGATGACCGGAGAGAAGAAGAAGAAGAAGAAGAGTGCTAATTACGAAGGAAGATTGCCGCGCCGCCTTTGTTGCTCTTTGGGACATTCAAGCGGCCGCACCAGACATCCTTTTTGGACCCAGCACACGGAACCACGACGTTCTTTCCCGCCGTTCGACCGGCCCCCAGAATCGTCGCAAAGGAAAAAATCACGACAAGCGATTCGTGGATCAACTTCATTGTGCCTTTTTTTGTTTTTGGTAACAGGTCGTTCCGCAAGCTTTTGGGGTTTTTTTTTTGTGGTCAGGTCGGTTGGGGCTGAGTGTGATTTCAAAATGGGTTCGGAAGTCGAGCTTTTTTTTGGAAATCACAATTTCGTTTGTTGAGGCGAGAGAGCTGGGGTAGGTATGTCTTCAGGACTCCTGCAAGGTGATGCCTATTTAAGGCCTTCTGAATCTCTGGCGTTTATGTGTACAAAAAAAAAAAACTGAAATTTGACGAGACAGACAGTTTGACAAGGGAAGAAAGGACGAAGGGTCGGGATAAGAAAAGAAGAAGAAGAAGAAGAAGAAGAGTTTTGATTGGGAGAGCCCCGAGAGTTGGGTGGAGTGTACCCTACAAGGTATGCAGAGGAGGTACGGGATCGGTCTCGATCACGACCGAGGGAGATGTCCTTCAATTTACGCAACCTGAATGACACAAAAAAACAAAGAGGTCGGCTGATGGGTTAACTTGCGAGGCCAACACGAAGGGCATCGGTGTCCATCCTCTCGAACCACGACCACATGACACAATCATCCTCCTGCCTCCAGGAACGGCCTCCATAACTCATGAACACCTGCAACACTACCTTCAGCGCGAGTTTCATCTTTGGAGAAAAAAAACCCCGCTTGCATTCGAAAAAAACAGCAGCAGCAGGATTACGGATCTTTTCGATTTAACGAGCAGACAGATTTATTCCGGTCCGGACTCCCATTAGCCAGACCCAACCACAATTATGATTTTCCCAATCCGTTGAAGGGATGATGATGATACATATTTAATACCTAGCCTAGCCTATCATGAGTTATTACAATGGAGACAACACCCACGCACAAAAAAAAAACAACAGGATAATTAAATATGTAGACGGACAGTGAGGAATTGCGACGATTCAGAACGACAGAAGCGATCCAAGACTGCAATTTTTATATATGATTGAAAGCGGTGTTGAAGATTGAATGTGATCTCAGTAACTACTGGTCGAAAGTTTGTTAGACTTATCTCATCAAACAGCGAGCTTTTCGATCATCCACAGAGTTCGGTCTGTGCACTCCTACGGCTTATATGTAGTGCTCATCGATCTATTCTTCTTTGTGATCATCACCAAAAATCATCTCAAGACCCCCCCCCGTCCCGCTTCCTTAAAACCCAGCCTTTTTTTTTCAAAGGTCTGATTGTTTGAATGAATACATTTTTTTTGTGTAGTGTCTGCAATCGTTTGTCTTTTAATGTGCAAGAAATCGAAACTGAAACTGAAAAAAAAAAGAAAACAATCTTTTGTATATCTACAATACGATGATGAAGAAGAAGAAGAGGAAGAAGAGGATGATGATGATGAATGGCAAAGACGTGCGACGATCACCAAATGGAAGAAGGTCAAGACTTCAGCTGAGTGTTGTTGAATGTTACAAGCCCGAGTTTTTTCCTATTTCGTTGGATCGAAAAATTGATGTCTCTGGGTTATGTGACTCGGTTGGGGGGAGATTTCTGTTCAAAGACGATGGACTTTCCCGGGAGAACAAGTCTGCGAGACCAGGGCATGGTCGATATCCAAGCTGACCGGCGGGTCTTGCTTCGGATCATACCCACTCTGAATAAACCCCCCCAAAAAAAAAATCAATATATATATATATTGATGACAAGATGTTTTCCAAAAAAAAGAAATGGGCCGGTTTAGAGGAACAAAAAAACGGACCGGGTTGAGCGCCGAGGTGCAGCACAGATAGTCGGTCACATCTGTCACCCGATCGCATTGGTACAGCCCGTCGCTCCTAAGCACGCCCGCTTTCTGGACTACATATTATGAACCATCCAACCAAAGATCAAAAACAAACCATCAAGCGTGAGTTTATTTTGATTTCATTGAGAAATAAAAAAAAGGAGAGGAGAGGAAGGAGTCAGCTGGACGAAAGGAAAAAAGGATGGTCCGAAGAAGGAGCGTTTTGAGAAAAGAAAAAGAAAAAGAAGGCACCTTGATATTTGAACGTTTGTTGGCCCGTGCCCACCCATTTCCCGCACCAGGCCGCCCGCTTGTCTTGCTCGAGACACTCGTAGAACGGCGGCGCACTGCCGTGGGACTCCACCGCCAGGCTTTGTATCAGCAACATGTAGCCGATCGGCCAGATCTTCATCATCTTTGTTGTTGTCGTGGTGGGGGGGGGGGCTGCAAGCAGATCCGGCTCCCGCTGGGGTTCTCTCGCTTTAGCTCTTCTTTCTGCTGCTGAAGTCTGCCGTCGCCTTCCTGGTCCCTTCTTTTTTTCTTTAAGTTCGAGCCTGGTCTTTCTAATATTCTCAAAAAAAAGACCATTAACCAAGATCTGGATCAGTAACCTTGTCCATATCATACATCTCGGCCAGCTCTTCTTGTCTGAGATTGTCGAATGGAGAATATACATAATAAAGCGAGGGAACCGTCGCCGCGACAGCAGCAGCAATTGATGATGAAGAAGAGGAGACAACAATGGAGGAGAGAAGAGAGAAAGGCTGGCGAATGGACGTACGAGAATGAGGCAAGTCTGTGTTCTGTGCTCTGAGCGGGAGAGAGAGCTGCAGCGACGAGTTTTTATATAGGGGGGAACTAGAAGAAAGTGCAGGCTTACATATATCTCAGCGCTGGGGTGATCACATATATATGAGTGACACCGACGCCGACGACGAATGAATGAAGCAAGGCAGTGAAGAGTTCCTCGACGTTGGGAGGGAGGGGGCGGAGGATGTTACATTGTAGGCTCGCGAGACAGTCGGCAGTCAAGTTCCGAAATTATGTAGAAAGCTTGATCTCGGAGAATGTGGAGCGGCGATGGATGGCCGAGGAGGTTGAGCTTCGGGTGTGTGAGAGGGAGAGAGGGCAGTGTTGGTCGTCGTCACTCTTGCTCGAGAGTCGAGCCTCGTCGAGGGAAGCTTTTATGTATCCGAGTGCTGGCTGCTGGGATCCCTTCCGTGCTCAAGTCTGCTCGGAGTCCGGACTCAGGAAGGAAGAACATCCTTGCAATCCATTGGGATCCAAACTAAATAT